TTATGCACACTTTTACGTTTCTCCCATCATACAAAACAACCCAAATGCTTATTTTCGTTCTTTGGAGCGGTACGACTGCCAATGTCGCCCGAGGGGAAGTTGAGCATATCCTCGTGGGCGAGCACATGTTGACTGCCTCCTCCTACTGCCCTACAATTTCTAAAAGATCTGAAATCTCCCTTGTTCCAATCGGGATTGGTTTTACACTTGGGAACAACATCACTGCATGGACTGGAAAGTTCGAGCAGTTAAGCCATCGGCTTTATCTGAGACTTTTTTTTACTTTCACCATTTTTCATACCTCCTGCCCATCGCACTCTTGCGTCACGTACTCTACAGGATTGCGTGGGCGGAAAATGTTGCGCAGGTCGAAGCAGCTCAATACTGCGTGTAAAGGTCAAATCTCAGAAGTTATCATTTGCTATGAGGACCACTAATCAACGCTTTTCAAGGATGTGGTGCTCATCCATGTCTCGGAGTACCAGGGCGCGGGCAGAACTTTGGAATCATCAGACTGACAGGAGTTTGTGGGTCAGCAATATGAGCACTAACTTCTTCGAGAAGTCCGAATGCCGTTCATGCTGCTCGCTGTCGTCTTCGTAGTTCCTCCTTCTCGCGTTTATCCTTGCCCATGGAATGCACGGGATACATGCAAGATGATACTTCCTTTATAGGGGTGCCACCATTTCTTATTTTGGCCCAAGCGTTCGTCATAGGCTGTCATTCTTGGGTAGATAGTCAACCCTTAAGTTTTCGATGCGGGTAACTCAGTCAACCGATCAACTGAGTCGAAACTTCAAGATGTGCGTCTCATTAATCTTTTAATAAGAAGATTCCTAATGAAAATATCACATCCTAAGGCCGGCGAATTTGTCTTTTTAGCCCAATTTCTTTTTGTATGCGCCGCACCTTTGACATCAGCTCAGGATCGCAGTGCCATTTTGAATGGGATTGGGCCTATATAATGCCTTGCGGAGGTCAGTCGATGTTTGTAAACCTTGGGTTTTCATCCTCCCAGACGAGATTGATACACCTGAGTAGGAGTGAGCAGAGGGCTTGGCCCCAAGACCATGCACGTGCTTTTGGTCTGCACCGCCTATACCAACATCATCTCCACCCCACCAAAAGTATTAAAAAACGGGCGCAAGTTGGCTCGTAGGGGGGGGGGCATATTGCTGCTTCCCAACAACGTGTTCATTGCTTTACAAGAGCTGACAGGAATTTTTTTACAAGAGTTCAAGTGATCTTTGGGACTTTCTGGTATCAATTAGTGGCTTTACAATATTCCAGATCTCCTCTTGATGGCTCAACTCGTTGATAGGAAGTAGCGAAGATACAAAATGTCCACCCCTACCAATCCGAACTGAACAAAAAATTATAATACATCAACTTCTGGCCGGCCTTCTGAAAAATGAAAAAAATCTAAATGAAATCTAAATGAATCATGACAAAATCTCACTGGCTCTAACAATACTGCAAGTTTTTCGAATGGTACCTAATACAACGCCGGATTGGAAACGCTAAAGTTGAGGAAACAGGGAGGGGCAGGACATATTTTAGGGTAAAACCCTCACATGAAGCTAAGACACTGGAAGACGTAGATTTAATTAGGACAGTGAAAATCGCGTTCCACTGAACAATTTCCTAAAACCCAAATAGGAACTCACTGAGACTCTAAATGGAAGTAGAATGCGTGCCGCCAGAAAGGATTGATCTACGGCAAAAGCTATCCTTTAATGGGTCCCATGGTGCGCCATGCAAAACAGCTCAATAAGCCATTCAGGGTGCTGATTGCTGGAGGCTTCTTTTATTTGAAAAGGATGGAAAAGCCTTTTTTGCGAGCACCCTCTAAAACTGGCCCACGTTATTCCATGAATTCATCAAAAATTTACAAATGTACTCCATTGAAATATTACAATCTGCTTCATTAATCAGATTTTGTGAGTAGGAATGCCGTAGCGTAAAATGACGGATTCTTAATTTGTAAAACGTACTGGCCTTTCCGTGATGTATGTCAGTTTAAGAAATGTCTCGGATTAAATTTTGACGAGGTTGAGAATATCAAGGGTGTTTTTATACTTCTAACGAAACAATCATTCTTTGTTGGTGGCCTTTTGCAAGAATAGGAGCGGATATAAAAATTACAAGCGTTTAAGCAACGGTCACTCAACCTTTTAAGGACTCTCTAGTCAAATGAAGTATTGTCAGTGGGGATTGAAGACGAAATTTCTCATCCTCAGAAATTGCCCTCCTATGCCGCTTCATAAATTCGTGCGGGATGAAATAAGTCTGGAACGGGTTCTCTCGGTTAATTAGAAGGGAGTGCGTAAAGCAGACATATTCAATACTAGTATGAAAGTGTGAAAGTCTCCTATTTCACTACTCATTCCCTTTCTGGGATGCGCCACGCATTCTGCCTCCATTCAGAGTCGCAGGGGCTGTTAATGCGATAGGTCTATGAAACGACTTGCGGGGGCCACCCGATGTACAAGTCAGTGTTCTTCCTCCAGACAAATCTGGTATCAATTCACTGTCCCCGTACGGTGGCAGGTTTGAGCCTTAAGGGAGCCAACGATATACAGTGGTTCGTCTGGATAGGAGGCGAAACGGACCACCAGCTTCACATATTTAACCCTTGAACTACTTCTTCTCTTTTCTCAATCACTGGTTGGCTTAGGCGGGGGCGATCCATGGTTTTATCCCCTGACCGTGCGCATGGCAAGCGTGCAACTTGCCACTATACCATCTCAACCTCATGGACCCATATTTTATGTAAAGCAGAGAGCGGTTTAATTTAATGCTAGCAGAGCAGATTCAAATTTTCACAGGTTTGCAGCTACCGGTTTTATTTTCAAATGAACTGGGAAGTGTATGATCCCATGGCTTAAAGAAGAGTCACTCTAGGTGACTTCATTGCTCTTCGTTGTTTCCTTCATAACGTTTACTCCATAACCCTCAGGTGCGGTGGGCATGGCTAGGAAATTCATTGAAACTGGCGGCGGCTGCGCTTTCGATAGGATATTTACATGCAGAGGCACTTGCAGTTGCACTTGCCACCACGTCTTAGCCCAATACAAAACAAGATTGCAGCTGCCTCAAATTGAAATATTCCATGGCATACCCATTCTATGGCATGTTAGAATGAACTAAGCAGCCACGCCTATTCGCGTCTCAGGGATATGGAGTTACGCTACAGGCAGGGCAACGGGACGTTGGGCATCCCCAGCGAAGGGGACTCGGTTCGCTTGAGGGAGAGGTGATCTTTCGAGAGAAATGTTTTCTGTGACTGCCTCCTCTCGTTTTTCCTTGTCCAAGTCGACTATATCCTCCCTTCTGTTCGACCACAGCTTTTTTTAGACGAAAAAGTGTAGAGTGTTCGGGTAAATACTCCGGGAAATTTGTGGGAAGCTGGAAAATTTAGGAATATAGGAAGATGGTAAGTAGGTTGGGGTATAGATGGGGATGGTCGCAGAGCAATCTTGAGGTGAGGTTGAATTTTGCCTGAATTCCTCCTCAAGCCCGGACTTACTGATTACGGAGTGACACATCCTTAGAAAAGGAGACTGTTATGCTATTAGATTTCAGTAAAACATGAGTACTAATCCTGTCCATGGTCCGACTTTTGCCCACAACTCAGCATTCTTGTGATAGCTTTCGGATCGCGTACTGCGGCGTTAAACAGCAGTTATCAAACAATAACAGCATGAGTACTGTTCACTACCGTCAATTGGATTTGATTTGTATGTTGCAACCAGTATAAGCAGCTTTGATAGAAGATTATGATTCCTTCAAGCGCTAAAGCTGAGGCTAAGTCAAGAGACTGGTGGGAAAAGGAGCTTATGCAAACGCTTTCTCCCGCCAGACAGGGTGGATACGGCAGTTTGGCTAGACGAGTGGGGTACAGTGTCTAGGGAAATGGGAAAGCGGGCTCATTATCATTCGATGTATGACGTGTTTTTTCAGCGAAGGGAGGACCTAAAGCTACTTAGCAAGGCACAACTTCGTGTCCATCACGAGCTCCAGCTCCGCCTTCTCATGGCCCAGACAGGGAATGATATCCACTTGCCTGTTCTTTAGCCCTCGCGGCACAGAGGATAGCGGCGCTGACGTTGCTTCGGGAAGGTGGTATGGTGGTTTAGCTTGTCTCTCATTGCTACCCGATTCTAGAAGCTATTTAAATTTCGCTTCTTTTTTGACTCTCGCACCATTTAGCACATCTATCCTTGCTTAAGGCTACCAACCGGATAAGCGTACACACTGCCTTTACACACTGACTGCAATCCTTTTTTTTTCCGAGAAAAGGGGTGAGGCAACAGCGGTTTTTTGCTTGCGCCTGTTTGAGTAACCAGTGGCCCGCAATGTCCCTCAGAACCACTTTTTTGCTTTGGCGAAAACTTCATCAAGTACGACTGGGCTATCGCTTCTAGCGCTCCTTCCCCACCATCCTTGAGCACAGTTCACACCAGCACAAGCCCCGCCCCACAGCCACGCCCACTTTTCTCGTTTCAATTCGATTGTGATGCAACTCGTTTTAGCTAATTTTGCTTCTGTGACTTTTTTGCCCGTTTGCCAATTGGCACCTGCACAAAACACGGCAATTTATGATTATTTCGCCAAATACCCACTTTGTTGCCTTTCAGCGAGTAATTACATAAAATTAGATGGAACTGTATCAAATGAGAGTTGTACTTCCCCCATCTAAGGTGCCATCTTCAGCAGTTTTTTCAATTATTGCTTGAATTCGTACCCTACTTCTAAACCCTGTGGAAGCTCTCGAGCACCACCCACTGAAAGCTTCACAAACAAATATCTTCGAGCTCCCCAAGCAAAGATCTCTCTTGTCTGTCCTCGTTTATCTTTCTCTCATTGTTCAATGATGTTCTATGGTTCGTTACAATTGCCGTTATGTCTGGAGTTCCGCTCTACTAGAAACTACTGGTTGAAGAGCTTAAACTTGAACTAACAGGCTGAAAAACCTACTTTTACTTTTTCAGAACGAAATGGGTTATCTGCTTTGTGGCGGGCTTTGTCTTCTGTTGTTCACAGGAGTGGCTCCAGCGGAATCGATGAGGTGGGTGCACTAATCTAGCGTATCTAAAGTATTGTACTACTGGTTAGCCGTCATCCCATTAAAAGCCCCTTGCTGCGCCTAGGTTGAGAAAAAATTTACTGAATCAGAAAACCATATTTCTCGAACAGTGAAGTTGCTACGCATTACTGGCTAGTGAACAAATAATATTAAAGGCTGCGGAAATGCACGTTCAAACGGCGTTTCCGCCAGATAGATTTCGAAAAACTGTTTCAATTGCAAACAAAATTCTTCAGTATCCATTTTTTTTCAAGAAGATGGTACAAAAGACCCATAAGAAGGTATCGTCAACCTTTTAGAATGGTTGTTAGGGTAGTTGCGCAACTGCATTGATCTTCCAGTGTCCAGTAATTCCTTGACAACGCATTTCGCGATAATCGCATGGGCGTGAACGAGTCTCGAAGCACATGAGTGGGAATGAGCTGAAAATTGGTTGCAGTTATTCTATAGGGCCCCCCCCTTTTGAGGAAGGGAAAGGGCATGCCAATGAGAAAGACCCCGTGGTGATAGGTCACTCCGCTTATTCGTTTATCGTGGAATGGGTTTTCAAAAATCGAGCCTTATCACTATCAGAATATTCAATGCAGCTTTCTTCCACAAATCCTCAAAAACACAGAGAACAGTCTCCATGAACCTAAGGGTAATGAAATTTCTAACGAGTTTGTCAAGTCCTTAATATAGAACTCTTTGCACACTTATGTTATTCAGGTACCAAGCGGTGCAGAAACGATTTGATATCGACATCGCCAAAAGGACAGAATTGAGCGACTCAGAGAGTCTTCGTGAGTTTTATTTTCATGCTTCCAAGCCGTTCGCCAGTTCCGCGCATTGACAAAACTCCATCTTGATCGTTGAGATCTCCCCAAATTTAATCGTTGAGATCTCCCCAAATTTGATGACACGCTGTACACTCCCCTCTGGGAATACTTGTCCTGACCATGTGCAGCAACGGGCTCGCAGCTGTAGGAGTTTGTCTTTTTCGTCACGTAAAAGTGTGAGCGGAAATGTGGCTGGAGGGCAGTAGCTGCGGGCTCCTCCCGCGAGCAAAGCTCGCAGCACGCGACACGCCACACGACCAGCTCTGTGCCTGCCGAATCAATCGCTCTAGTTGTCAGAACCTTCTCACGCTTGATTGTTCCCTACACTGAACCACAATAGGCAGCTTTCTGTTATGTCGCTCGCTCCGGATCCGCATGTACTGCGCATTGTGGACGTCGGTTGGAGACCCAAATGGCTCCAGCTTCACTACTGTCGCAGCACGTCGTACATTCCCAACGAGAGGGTCATATTTGTTCTTTGAGAAAAATATTTTCGGTTGTCAACTTCTATCGATTTCTCTTGTTTTGGTGCTCTATATGCCCCCCGCCCCCCGCCCCTCACCCCCACCAGCTCCCTATTTTCTTGGTAATGAAGAACCTAGATAGGAAAGTTTCGAGGGATGATCGCATTTTGAAAAACTGTTTCTCGGCTGTAGAACGTGCGCCAGCCTCCTTTGCACGCCCTTCAAAGTCAGTGTGCACGACGCCCTCTCGCAGCTCTTCCACCAGCGACGCTGGCAGTACCCGTCAGCCTCCAGCCATAGGGCCCACGGCTTTACAAAGGTGGTATCCTACAGCTGCGTACCCATTTACCATTTACATTGCACGAAAACACCTCGCTGATAAGCGTACAGCTTGTCTTCAAAGATGCGTCATGTTTGCAAAATATACAATTTTATTACTATACATTATTAACGTACTTTTATTACTACTATTATTACTATATTAATTACTTTCTTTATAGTACTACTTTATTTTTTGCATTACATTATGAATCAAATGACAGCAACAAGAGTAATCATTCATTACAGAGGAGTATCCCGTCGTGACTGGTGGCCCGAAAGACGAAACGGCGACGGAGAAGCACGTGTTGAACTACAGCTCAAGTCCATCACGGTTCGATCCTGTTAGAGGATTCAGCTTTTACAAGAAACGTTTTGACCCTTACAAAAAGAGGTTCGACCCCTATGTGAAGCGCTTTGACCCTTTTTCAAAGCGTTTCGATCCTTACGAGAAGCGATTCGACCCCTTATCGAAACGCTTCGATCCATACCTGAAACGCTTTGACGGAAGCTATGGCATCACTGATGAGATGGATCCTCTCGATAAGCGATTCGATCCTTATTCAAAGAGATTTGACGTCTCTGACCTATACGACACCTACTCCAAGAGATTCGATGTCTACAAGCGATTTCCGAGTTCGAAGAGATTCGAACCTTTCAAGAGATTCGAACCCTACTCGAAACGTTTCGACATTTTCAAGCGATTCGATCCATTTCCATATGCATCGGCGCTGACCGACATCGACGCTTATGAGATCTATCCTGATGTTCCGAAGCGCTACGAACCGACATACTCAAAGGAGTACTGGGGACAACTGAACACAAAGCGAAATATAATCGATCCATATGCATTCCATGTAGGATTTGGGCGTTAAACGTACATGTGTCTGTGTGTCGAGATTTCACATGATATCACTTGTTTTGTGTTATCTAATGTGAATGAAACGAGTAATAAAACAATCAGCTTTGCCGATTCGAGTAGTAAGAGAATTTAATTATTGTTCACTATTGCTTATTTATCGTGCACGCACGGGTGCGCCACAATATAAGCGAAACTAGATCGGTTACAAAACATTCAAGCGATACAAAGGAAACAAAAAAAAGACGAAAACAACAAATTCGGCAACACAAATACACAAACCGGAAATCAAAGACCCTAATCATCCTTTATCACTTTTAAATCCTGAATGCCTACTATAGCGAGTACACTCTAGTTCGCTGCGGACGGTTGGGCGTGTCAGGCAGTATGAGTGTGTCACGCCGTCAAAGCCGTTCTCTGCCTTCTTGTTGAAGCGACAAAAAGTGGTAGAAAACGAGTAATACGAACGATATGATACAGTCATATCACTTGCTCGCTTTAACAACTGGTGGAGAACGGGTTTGGCACCGCGCCAAACTCATCCCGCCTGACACGCCCAACCGTCCGCAGCGAACTACAACTATAAGCGAAACTAGATGGGTTATAAAGCATTCAAGCAATACAAAGGAAACAAAAAACCGACGAAAACAACAAATTTGACAACCAACACACAAGCCGGAAACCCTCCGCACCGTAATCTTTTAAAAATGCCTCAATGCCCACTATAGTGAGCATGTAAGCTTTCTTCAATCTCCTCTTGAAAACAAAACAAAGAGATTCGGCGTTTCTGCATGTGTGATGGCAGCGACTAAAGCCATCTTGCGGCACGGAAAAATAGCGAATTATAGTGTACTTCGCTGCGGAAGGTGGGGCGTGTCAGGCGGGATGAGTTTGGCGCGTGCCAAACCCGTTCTCCACAGCTGTCAAAGCGAGCAAGTGGCAAGACTGTATCACGTCGTTCGTGCACTCGTTTCCCAACAACTGTTGTCGCGTAACTGCTTCAACAACTGGCAGAGAAGGAGTTTTTCACCGTGGCACACTCATACTGCCTGACACGCCCCTTCGTCCGCAGTGAACTACAGTATAAAACCATGGATCGGTGGGTCCTGCTTAAGTTGGGAGCTGACAACGAGGAATTTCGGCCCCTGCTCGGTCAAAATGTTCAGTGCTTACTGGGCGTCAATGTTACTCTTTCAGTAACCTAAAGCAGAACAAAATATCATTGAACACTCGTCTATATAGTAATGACTTAAGGTTGAAAAGCTTGAGGCGCTCCTTATAGCTGGGTAAACCACGCGGGGTATGTCGGGCTGGGATGGTATGGGTACTCCAAAACTCTAAGTTTGTTGGATCTCCTCAACTTTCGCCTCAAATTCTTTGCTGTGAGGGCTTCATATCTGCGAGCCATACTCAAGGACGGCATACGCTTTATAAAGCTTCAAGTTTCCGAATTACCAGTAAATGCAAGAATGAATAGGTGTTCTGTTTTTGTAGTAATGATTTTTTTTCCTTGGGATTTCTGAGTTTTCTACTTCTACGGCAATGTCACCATAGCACAACGGCAGCCTTCACTGCTTCCTTGTGATACAAGATTATAAAATCGGGAGGTCAGGCTGGCTGGGCATATCGTAAGATTTAATGACCCCATTCAACTATTACTAGCTCAAGAAAATACAGTTCTAAGGGTAGCGCCTGCTTAATACTCCTCGCTCGGCCTACCGAGCACGTATAGCACCTCCACCTGGCTTTAACTGGACAGAATAGCCGGAATCACCAGATTCGGTAAAACTTATTTCCAGGAGTAGTTTGCCCTGCTAAACATGAATATCACATCCCCTCGGCCCGAAACAGCCTGGCGCCAGTGGCACATGCGCCAGCGCTAATTTTTTTTGTACAAACCGTATAACGGTATCTGAATACCTTCATCCTAATCCCTGGCGTGTAGCGCGGGCTACCGCTTTTCGTGCTATTAGGAGAGACGCGACCAGACGAGACGTACCCTTTCTCGTTCTCTGCGATAGTGGATGCGATATACATGTTCAGGAGGTCATACTCTTAGTATCAAATTCCCAGCGAAATCTTCACAAAAAAGGAAGAAAAAAAGCATGTAAGAAAACTGGCCCTACTCCAGATGAGTGGTAGTAATAGTCGAACAGATAATGCTATACAATCCTACGGTATGCCCTATTGTGGGCGTTCACGGCCCAACACATTTAATTTCACGTCAATTTTCGTGGTACTGCGTGCGCGCCGTTTTTCGGAATTTTCGATCTTTCCTTATAATAGTAGTGGTTGTAGCTGCGTGGCAGTTTTTCTTCTGATCCACGGACAACTTAGTTCTAACTCCTGAGTCTATTTATTTGTTTATTTTGCGTCACCTTGCTGTTTTTCTCTGCTCACTCTCGTCTATATTGTGCTCCATGGACAGTGTAAGCTTGCACAGCCCAGCTTTTCACGAACGATAAGTGCTCACTCACCCAAGCATCCTTTCCTCTGGAAACCCATCTCCTGAGTCCCCTTCGCGCATTTCGATCTTTAGCGACAGCTGTCGTCCTCTACCTGGGAAGGCGATCGTTTGGCGCGATAACATTGCCGTTCACGAGTTCTTACATTAATGCTACTGTGCTAGTTTCCGGACGAGTTATCCTGACTGGTAAGCGGTTTGGCTGACATATTGTGAAACGTAGGTGCAAAGTGATGGCGCCAAACAACACACCCCGGGAGGAGGTCGTTTGGCGTGATCACGCCTGACAGGTAGAGTATGTGCCTACCAAGTTGGATAACTTGCCCTAATCACTGAACTATAAGTTTCCGTGTGTTCTAGCTCACCAAAAGCCGTGACGGTTGGCTGTTGTTTCATGATTTTAAGCCAAGTCTTCTTCTAATGATTAGTAGGGAAATACACTGGTTTGGAAGTTCGGACGAGTTGCTTCACCTGGAAGTCGGTTTGCCTGACATGTTTTGACGTGTAGGCGACAACAAGTTCGCGCTAAACGACATACACCCCACACACCCCTCTACCTGCACGCGCTACAGGGTTTCATTGCAGGACCATGCAGCAACGTTGAATGTAACCGTAACGTTATTACGAAACCGTTTGTTCTGTGATTCGGGAACCAATTATTCAGGGACTGCTGCCTGCAGCTCTTCCGACACCACGAATCCCCCACCAAGGCAGCGTTCAGACTTCGCGACGGCAGCGCTTCGGTCGCGCGTTCGACGCGATCGATGCGCATGCTTTCGACTGCATTGATCGCGTCGAACGCGCGACCGAAGCGCTGCCGTCGCGAAGTCTGAACGCTACCAAAGGCGCACACGACCCCTTCGCTTATAGCGTCCGTGAAGCAAGGAAAATCTTCTATCAAAAAAAAAGTTAGTCAGAGCAAGTACGAGCCCACCCCCCCCCTCCACCCTCAGCGACCAAATACGGCCCTCCGCTTGGGGCCCAGTTTGCGACGCGCTCTGGTCCTAACTGATCTTCACCTTCTACTAAGAAAGGAGCCTCAAAAGTAGCGTTACCCCTGCATTTTCTCACGGGCTAAGTCAACTAGCACGTTCACTCCTGCTTCTCAATCCAGCTATCTAAGATGTTTCCAATGGCTATTCAATCGCTAGTTTTGCCTTTAGATCTGACCCAGCTGGTTACTTAACTCGAGGCCCATTCCAGCCATCTACCTTCAGCGCCGAACGATTGTTCTGATGACTGAAGTACAAGTTCTGAAACACCGCGCCCAAACCATCCGCAAGGCACTTATTGTGAAGAGTCCACAATAACAATCGTCTTCAAACCCGTTCCACTCGGACGAACCGCTGTATTGGACAGTGTTCGATTGAAGTGAATCAGCTGGTTTGCAGTTACTCTCACACCTTCGCCTTCATCATCCTATTCTTGAGTTTCGTACCGCTGACACATCCGTGCTAGTGGCTGATCGATACGCATAAATTAAATGTGTTTGTCGAAAGTTCGGTTTTGCAGAGCGTACCGCTTCCTTCTGCGGAAGTTGTTAACAGCTCTCTGGAAGACTTTCCCCTGCAAAAGGGTATTCTTCTAGGAGGCTTCGAAATAACACAATTCGAGGTAAGCTAGGCATAAGTAGTTCCTCGCAACTTTATTATAAGTATGTTGGACATTTATGACTAGTAAGATGCTAAAGGTAAATGACAAGTAATGGTTGAATAAGACCTGTGCGTATGTGCGCTATGCTATGCCCCCGCCCCCGAACTGTACTGGGTCGTATGGGCTGTTATCAGCGGGAGGCTGGCGTCATTGCAATAGTGCCATCGGCCGATTCGTGGAGCCTCTCAGCCTGAAAAACCCGTCGTCGCTATTGCCACCATCATCAACATCTGCATCGACGCCCTTGCCACCTCCACCACCATCATCACCACCACGAACGCCATGATCACCCTCTGTCCTCCACCATTGTCATCAGTCGATTTGTTGCCCTAAACGCGAAATGCTAGCTATAATCCTTGATGGCGATTAAAGCTTGTGTTTTGTGTTACGGGCGGCAACTGTCGTTTTGATGTTATTACTATACCATGCTTTCTCGTTACTGTTACTGCTGAATGAGGCAGTAAGTTGTATGCCGTGTATTTGTGTCTGACTTCTCGTTTCTTGCCCGAAATGCATTGTTCGACTCAAGAAACGAGGACATTTCCACGGACAATTTAATCGGAATCGCATTCCTTCACAATCTATTCCTTTCCGCACTCTTACTTTCACTGATCTAACTCGAGTTTGGTTCGTCTTTTACTTTTCCATACAACTAGTAACTTTCAGGGGAACTCTTAGAAAGGGGATGATAGCTGGCCAAAGACGTCGCCTCAGGCGATTTGAAAGGGCTAACAGTGGCGCGGTTGAGATCATATCATATGAGCTGCTGAGCGGGAGGGTATATCTCTCCTGCTGAAAGGAATGTGGGCGCAGTTCGGCTTAGGGGTGGGGGCGGGTACATGTTGCACTTCGGCTACTTCCCACTGTCGCGTTGAGCTGGTAAATAGAGTGCTGTGGAA